GTGATTGAGTTGGAGGTAGATTAATAGTGTGAGGTAACCGCTTGTAGAAGTCACAGTTACGAACACGTAGACTCTAAGGAGGTTCTACTTCGAGACAGAATTTACCAGACTGTGTATATATATTATTATTGCTACTAACCACGTTTCTGGATCTACTAACCGTATTACCAATTGTATTATTGTGTAAATACATTTATTTGTTATATTTCATTCCTGCGTTTGTCATTCATTGGAGACCGAATTTCATCTCGGAATTCACAACATTTATAAAAGAAATATTCATTGCTAGAAATATCCCATTCTTTTACAAAGGGGTTTTTAGCTGTTCGACTATTTTATTGGCTGATGAAAATGTTCATTAAATAAAAAGAAGATAATTAAAGAAACGCATTAACTTTATTTAAAGTATATTTACCGTTTTGTTTCACCGAGTTCTGCCATTTTAAAATTTTTCTATCCGCTTAAGTCACTGCCCTATGTACAAAGTATTAAGAAACATGAAAATTTTATTAGAAACAAATAAAAGTATGCTAAACTCTTATGTAATATCAATCCTATATGCTTGTGAATGCCAGAGAAAATCCCTACAGCCCAAGAAATAACTTGAGGCAACAGACATGTTGTCCTACAGAAGGATGCTAACAATCCCATACACTGAACATGTGAGTAATGAAGAAGTTTTAATCGAAATAGAAACCAAAAAGACATACTTAGAATTAGAAAGATACAGTTGAAGTTTCTAGGAGATATGATGAAGAAAGATGGATTGGAGAATTTGACACTCCCAGGACATATTGAGGGACAGATGAAAATGGAGAGTAATTTATGTAAAGAGTTTGAGCAAATGGATGGTAGAACAGGGGCTGGTGAACAAACAAATGTTACTAGGAGCTACAAAGGATAAGAAGTTATGGAGAGCTATGATCATCCACATCCTGACGAAGGCGCCTTTCATTAGCTTCTAAGGAAGTGAACTTTTTTCGTAATGAGAATTCTTTAAAGATAGGAATAAATGGTAATCAGAAGATATAATATCTAGGGAATACAAAAGATGAATGAAGACTTCTCAGTCAAGATGGCACAACCTTTGCCTGGTCTCCAAAGAAATGCTCGATAGATCATTATTCTGATAGATTATTACGCCGTTATTTGACCGAAGATATTTTTAGCTAAAAGTAAACGTTCATCGTGTCATCTAACAACCAAAACCAAAGGAAAATTATAGCAAGTAGATATTCTGTGCTAATATATTTCAACATGGCGTCTTTTAAAAATCGAAACACGAAAAACTTCGTGGAAAAAATATGGGACAAATATATTGAAAATATCTCGATAGTTCGACATCGGATATTATTTATTATTTATACAAAATACATATAAAATCGACAGTACTATTAATCGATCCGTGATTAGTGAGCTACATCGTAAGAGGAGAGCGTTAAAGACATTACTAATACATCGATAAGAAAAAGTTCAGCGTTCGACTTCTGTCATTTTCCCACCAGTGTAATGTAGCTTCTCTGTGCTTTTTCTATAAATACTTTCATAGTCTGTCTATATTTCTGAGATGATGTTTTATGTACATTATTTACATTATTCGAACTATTGTGGCAGTGGAGAACTTTCAGAGGGAAATTAACAGGAGATATCTGATAATTGACATCCATCAAACATGTCACGTGGAACTAGAACAGTCTACCCCAGTGAGCGAAATAAAGGGTTCAGTGCGACATTCCAACCATCTGAAGAAGGCCGGAGCGTACAACGGCCGAAACGTTGTGATAAATATAGCGACAAAGATGAAGACAATAGTCCGAATAATGTAAATAAAATATTTTCATGTTAATTATTCTGATGAACTTTTCTTTATAGTACATAGTTGTTGAGATGTTGTGAGGTTCCCGCGTGTCGGTGTGTGAATCAAGACAAACACAGTTGTAGAGGAAAATACTGGTATATTCATAAAAGCAATTAACAATAGAGTGATTAGTAGAACGAAGGTTGGTTAGTACGAAACAATATCCAAAGTCTATAGTCCAACGGTATGTACCGGGTAAGCTTATCTGGACTGCTAACGCTGACTCTCTCTCTGACGCTCTGTCACTCTCTCTCCAGAGCTGACTTATATAAGAGGGACCAGTCCATTACTAGTTAGAAGGTGGGTGCGCCCCAACAATAGTCCTTATGAATTTAAGCGCAAAGCTGCTTTGGCGGCAACGATTCATCATTTTAAAGTTGAAATGGCAAGATCTAACCAGAAGTTATATGCTAACGGTTTCTTCTGTCGCACTTCTCATTTGTGGAACAAACTATCTTCCAGTTTCTTGAAGTCAACTTTTATCTTCAAAAATTTAAATGCAATGTCAATCGTTGTCTTCTATCGTCTTAATTGTTGTTCTTTTACTGTTCTATCTCCTTAACAGCATATTTTTCTCATATTCTTTAACACTCAATAACCCTTTGCGTCTTAGTAGCTTCACTGCTTTGTTTGAAGTAAAATGATTAAATAAAAAGAATAAAAGTCAATACCCCATCTCAGATGAAAAAAAAAAACAAACTTCGCCATTAAAAAAATATGGGATAAATATACTTCAAATATACTGAAAATCAGACTTTAAGATTCGTTTGTTGTCATTAATACCTACAAAGTTGAACTTAATGCAGTAAATTAACAAACTTATTAGTGGCTCAGTCAGTGAAGGATGAACTCTATCGTAAGAGGAGAGTTTGTGTCCATTTGAGGAGTGTAGAAAATTTTAAGGACATTACTAAAGCATCGATAAAAAAAAAATATTCATTAATAATTCGATCCTGTAAGATTTTTGGCTCAAATTGATTCACATAAAAACAACGAAAAAGGAAAATAATTTTAATAAGAATCAGATTATCAAATATTGACGACGACAATATTAATCTATCTTAACAAATATAAATCTATAATGAGAAGTTATTTAGGTGCGCCTTTAAGCGAATTAAAATCACTAGCGATTGTATGTAAGATTGGAATAATTCACAGTTGAGTGTAATAACAGGACATTTTAAATCTGTTCACGAAGAACATTTAGGCATTGTGTTAAATTTCTTCAAAGATATTTCACTGATGATTAAGATTTCTTCATCAAAGTTAGTTAAATCAATAAACGGTAAATCAAACCGTACATTTCCTTCCGAATCTTGAGATATTTCAATCAAAACGTTACTTATCGAATGGTGAAAAGAGATAAGCTTTAATTGTGAATATTTGGACAGATGTGCTTATCTACATCAAAGTTTCCTGAAATCACTTTTCCAAGATGCCTGATTGAGAAATAAAGATGTCAATACTGATTTCTGAGCCACGCCGTCAGCTTCCGCAGGATATGATTGATTCAGACGAATAGACCAAATCCCATCGATTATAGATAGCCAACCAAGCGACCTAAGTTTATTTGTAGCTTACTACTTCTTGTAAAGCGATAGTTATCTTGGGTCACTGAATAAAGAGTGATTTTTAAATGAGAAAATAGCCAAGTAAAAGTTTGCATAGAGTTGCATGAGTTTAACAATGAAAAGTTTCATAATTTGACGCCAGCAAAGGACAACTATATACAAAATAAAGTGCTCACATTTTTATAAGGGTCACTACAGCAAATGTGGCATTTTAAGTAGTGTGATTTATTTTTACTAGCCAAATACTCGAAGTTGTTATAGAAATTTTCGTATCTCTCAAATTTCTGTATAAAGGACATTTTCTAGTTTTACCATTCTACTAAGTCCACTTGAATTTCCTTCTCCGGACATAGATACATCGAACTGACTATGAAAGAAAAATTTGAATAATTTTCTTATATGTATAGCAATAATAATAATAATATTAATAATTAATTAATCAAGCAAAGTTACTATTTTTCACTTGTTTAAATAATTCAGTAAGGTTTTAAGAAAATCTAAATATATTCTTTTGACTTATTCAGATGATAATTCCATAAATTTTTCGCCTGAGTTTGATTGATTTATAATAATGTGAAATATCGGACGACAAAAATATTTATTACTATGACATAATTTATGGAGAAATCACTGTTCTCCACAAATTATAACAATGATTTAAAATGCATTTCAATCGATGTGACCTCCATCTTCTGGCGACTTTCTCCTATATTTTGGATAGGAGTCATTCCCTTGTTCAAATTAAAATTTAATTTAAATCAAATAGAAAAAAAATTCAGTGTGTAAAAACAGCTTGATCTGATCCTTTTGATATGTATTTGATGCAATACTTGATTGAATAAATTCATTAGCAAATTTCAACATTGATATGACAGTTGAATTGTTGCAACAAATATGTATTGTAAGGCACTGTCCACCGGGTATTTTCTTGTTCAACTTGACCTCCATATTGTCTCATTTTAATCTTGCCGATGTGACCTCCATATTCTGGCTTTCTCCTTGAGTACTACAATAATATCTGGGCTGGAGCTGCCTATTTCTCTCTTTCCAGCCATGTCAGATATCAAAAAGCGTCTACGCCACTTTGTAGGTGATTAATTAATTATTTTCTGCTCTAGAATTCATTTTCCAATGGTAATATGTCGAAAGCCTCTGGCTATTCTATCGTTATTTCTATGGCAAATGTTCTGACGAGCTGTATTCTTGACTTCTAGCAGTTCAGATATACACAGCTAAGATCCCCCATGTCACGTAGACTTTGGAAGAATCATTACCATTCTCTTCGTATTCCATTACTAAGTAGGACAACTTCTTGGCGAGAACTGCTCGTTTGAAAAACAAATACCTGAAAGGATGCTTCCCAGATCGGTACAATCTTAATGTCTTCGAGTCTAGGGTCAACTGTTGTCTTTCTTCCAGGATCTCGTGATGTGCCGGTTTTAGCACTTCCTCTTACGTTTATACGACAACATCATTCTGTAAACGTCTAATTTTAGTGGATTTGGGCCTTGTATTGGGTGAACAGTCAGTAAAAAAATGATTGCAAACAGAGGAAACGGAACGAGATAGAATTATAGAGTGGAAAATAGAGATAGAATAGAAGCCGGGGGCGGAGGAGAGATAGGCAGGAATGTAGTTGAATAGTTTCCCAATTTGTATAAAGAATAGAGTGAGAGAAATAGAGTGAGCGCGAGTGAGTGAGGAGTGAGTGAGTGAGTGAGTGAGTGAGAGGAGAAAAGAGAGTGAGTTAAAAGTATTAGAGGGAAAATAGAGATTGAAAGGGAGCGGGAGAAGGAGGAAAGATAGGCAGGGATGTAGGTAAAGAGGTTCCCAATTTGTATAAAGCATAAAGTGATGAGAGAATTAGTATTAGAGTGAGAGCGCGCGGGCGTGTGTGTGTGAGAGAAAGAAAGAAAGAAAGAGAGAGAGAGAGACAGAGACAGAGAGAGAGAGTGTGTATGAGAGTGGGAGGAGAAAAGAGAATGAGTAAGAAGTATAAAATGGAAAATAGAGATAGAAAGGAAATGAGAGAATGAGGAGAGATAGACAGGTACGTAGTCAAATATGTTCCCAAATTGTATAAAGAATAGGTTAATAGAATTAGTGTTAAAGTGAGAGAGAGAGAGAGAGAGAGAGAGAGAGAGAGAGAGAGAGAGGAGGGGGGGAGGGGGATACGTGAAGAGAAAAGAAAAGAAAAAGATCGAGTAGAAAAATAGAGATTGGAAAAAAAGGAATAATAATCTGACAAGTGGAAAACGAAGGCCAAGAATCACGGAGACAACCAAGAGTACACAACAACAGACACCTACACACACGCACGCGAGCGCGCGCGCTTACACCCGTTCGCACGCACACAGTAGGATAAAGAAGTAGAGAGACGTGCAGAGAGACAGTGAAAGCGATATAGAACGAATAAAACTAAAAATAAATGTAGAAAGAACCAGTAAGAGAAATAAGTACAAAAAAGGGAGAGATAGGAATAGAGAGGTAGAAACGGATAGAAAATTGTGAGTGAAAGAGAGAGAGAAAGAGAGAGAGAGGGAGGGAAATTAAGTAAAAACACGGCTTACATAGAGAGGAGGTACACAGATAAAGCAAGAAAGAGAGAGGGGGAGGGAGTAAAAGAAATAAAGATGAAAATGATAAATTTCTGAAACTTCTTTGAAAGTATAAAGAAAAAGGAAGACGAGAAGAAAAATAAAATTGGAGAAAAAAAGCAGAAAGAGAGAGAGGGGAGGTAGGGAGAGACGGAGAGAGAGAGAGTGAATATATGTTGGGTGGTGATAAAACATAAAAAATTGAATGTTACAAAAACTGACCATTTTGTCCGGAAAATTTTCAAAAATTGCCAAAATCTGCAAAGGTCGGTCAAGCAAAAGTAATGATACACTCTGAAAGCATTGTCCCATTACAAAATGCACGCTAATAATTTGTGCGTCGATTCAACCAGACTGAGTCGGACCAATTAATCATAACTTGTTCTTGTATTGTTGCGTCACGGTAGGTTGACCACTTGACAATCGCCATATTCACCTGGTTGATTATACATCGTCTAACTGTCAGCCACCTTTCTGACACCTTCTCTTAATTTTTTTCCCTCTCCTTCCGTTTCTCCATCTTTACTTCTTTCAAATTCTTTGCGTGCTAGTTTCTCAGGCATTATTACAAGGTTGATGCAGTTGGCTTTTAAAAAGAATCAATGTTTTCCCCTTGCACCATATGAAAATTTATGGTACCAAATATGTTTCTGTTCATATAAAATCGGCCGCCATCTTCTTCCTGAAAGAGTTGGCTAATTGCTCGGCAGGACCTGGACGGGTTTTCATTGTGTTTGCAAGCAGTAAACGATTGCCATAGCAAAGAATACGGCCTGTACGTAATACATCAATGTCGAACAGGTGATATGAGTCACACAATGGACGTACCACTCCCGCCAGCTGTATTATTTACGACGGTCATATTATGGGATATTTCTTTCGATGCCATGCCTGTCTTGTGGCACAACAGCCAATATCCGACAGCTTCATCTTTTCAACGTAAAAGTTTGCAATCTATCAGCTGACCTGGCAAAAATAACCTCAATGCTTTATCTGACGCCTTTCTCTCCGCTTACGAATTCTTTGCTTTATATTCTTGTTTTGCTATCGTTTCACCATTCCGCCAGTCTTTTCAGCATCTTACTTACCACGTGGTCTTATGACCTTTATTTTCTTCCTGCTACCGAATTTCATCCTTTTTATTCTTGCACAATCAGAAGTTCTTTAAAGAACGAAAAAAATTATAATCGTAAATATAAGAAGTTAATAAACGAACATGATATATATCAGTAAGAATTAAAGAAAGAAAAGTAGCATAGAGGGTTAGGTAAATATAGCGAATTAAAAGCCACCACCAAGCTCTAAAAAATCAGCGAAAATATTATAGTTTTACGAGAAAGAAAAATGAAAGGAAATAAAAGAATAATTATATGAATGTGGAAAATAATGAAGGAAAGAATAAGAATACACGTTAAGAAAGAAAGTAGGCAAGAAAGCAAGAAAGAAATAAAAAGAAAAGAATAGGCGAAGCTATATCCTCATGGCGTCAGTTTAAACTGGCACTTACTCTTTTTTCATATATTATGATCATTTTGTTTAAGATCATATCTATCTATCTATCTATCTATCTATCTATCTATCTATATAATTGTTTTTTATAAAAAAAAAATTATAACATAAGTATGTTATAAAATCACTACAAAAATAGCCATTTTGTTTCAACACACTCTGTGTCTTATCAAGTGATGATGTTGAAAATATATATATATAAAGAAAGTGATGTACTTTTTATTTATTAATCCGACAGAATTTCTTATTTAAACGTTATTTTAGTGGATAACCGTATTTGATTAGAAACTCCGTTTATTCATTAAACATTATAATTATTTATTTTCGTCTACCGGTAGGATTCGAATCTGCGCTTCTTGGACACGAATTGCGTCAATGAACAACTAAACATTAATAGTACTGGCAGACTACTATAAATAAATATATAATTTGCTTTGTTTACGTTAGGATACGAAACTGGGTAGATATGTCTATTTCAGAGAATCAGGACAAATCCGTGTTTAAAGGCCCAAGGGGTTTAAAGCGCGTCAGATATAATGACCCTCCCTTTTCCTCCAGGGAAGGTAGGTTCGAATCCTGCCGGAGAGCACATATTGCTATTTAATAGGCTTTTTTGAATATTCAAGCGAAATAAATGAATATACTCTTTAATAAATAAACGGCGCGCTTACTCAAATACGTGTATCCACTAAAAAATAACGTTTAAATGATAATATATATATATATATATATATATATATATATATATATATATATATATATTCATGAATCTATCTTTCTTTCGAATACATAAGAATCAATATATATACAAAATACGCACGAGATATACGTTGATGAAAAAATTGTTCATATATATATATATTTATACACACACACACACACACACACACATATATATATATATATATATATATATATATATATATATACATATTATTTCAAATAAAAACTTGGGAGTTTCCATAATATTTCAGTGAAATTCTCACTTTTCAAAATTATAGTTTATAATTATAGATTATATTTTCTTCTTTGTTTCCATTTCTGTTCATTGTTTGAGTCTCTTACTCCTCTTTTTTCTTTCTTATTTTATCTTCCTTTATTCTTTTTATTACTTTTTCTTTAACCTTAGCACATAAACTCATGGAGTTAGTTTAAACTAATGCTTTTTTATATGTTTACAATTATAGATATAAGAAAAAGTCACTAGTTTAAACTAACTTCATGAGGCTATGTGTTAAGTATAAAAACGGAAAAGTAGAAGAAAAGAATAAAAGGAAGATAAAATAAGAAAGAAAAATGAACAGTAAGAGATTCAAACAGTGTATAGAAATGGAACAAGGAAGAAAGTGTGAATTATAAAACACATGAAAACAGAGAGAACTAGAAAAATAAATCAGAAATGATAGACGGGAAGATAGAAAAAAATGAAGAAAAGAACAGGACTATAAATAAGAGATGACGAATAAGTTAAATAAAAAAGAAACTTTCTTTTTTGATACATATTTTTACTAGTTTTTTAAAATTTTTTATAACAGTTATTGTTCGATATGTTTTTCGGACTTCAAAATAAATTGTGACAACTTAGAATAAATTTCAAGATCGAAGAAAATATCGGCGGGAAAGCGGCGTGGTCTTTTTTTTTTTAAATATGGTTTTAGAAGAATAAAAGCTAATGAACTATGACAATACTTCATTTCAAAGCTTCATATGATCTGAAAATATCACGTTAACTCATAAGCTCCCGACGTCGGTTTGAACGGAAACTTGCTAATGAAAACTCTAATTATAAACTACAATTTTAGAAATTAAAAATGGCACTGAAATATGTTCGATGACTTACAAATTTTCATCTGAAATCAATAAAATGCGAACTTTAAGTAATAATAAAAATACATGGAAAAAATAAAACATTAATTTAAACTAACATCAGGAAGAATTATATTAAATATTGTTTCTTTTTGTCAGTAATTGCTTTTTTTATGTGCTTTTATAACACAAATGTTAAGCGTTTACAAAGTATATTTTGCAACATTTCTTACATTTCGCTTGTTATTTTCAAGCTATTGCTTTTCTCACCCTTTCATTGATACTCATTTCTTAGCTACCTCCCGGCATCTTGTTCTTCCCCAAATGATTTACATTTTACCCTTTTCTATCTGCTTCAACATTTTTTCTTGAACTCAACCCTTTTTAAATCACAATATATTCTACTATGTTTCTCGTTGAAAGTTATCCAACCTCAATGTACTGATTCGATTTCACTTAAATCTTCTCTTGTTCTTTGCCGTTTTCATCCATCTCCTATTACCACCACTACTCTTCCCCCTGCGTGCCTTCCCAAGTACCAACGCTTCAAACATTCCAGTTACACTTATGTAATCCAGTCCCGAGGGGACGCCATTAAAAAAAAGTTAATCGAAATATTTCCCAACAGGAGTTTCCAACAAACAGAATCTTTGCATGAGTTAATCGAAAACTATTTTCAATAGACGAGTACAAATGAAGAATTAACAGATCTTTTAAATCTGTCAAACCTTTCGTCCTTGATTCATGAAGCAAAAAAGAAAAAATAAGAAAGAAAAACGTTGTCGAGTTGTCCTGATATTAGGCCTTATAATTTTATTTGATCTCAACTGTATGAAACGTTTTTCCTCTCCTACAACAGAGTCTGCCTTTCAAAGCATGTGAAGAGAATATGTCATTGATTTCCTTTTTACGATCAAAGAGATAACTGAAAACAATGAGGACTTGATACAGTTGACTTCATCAACGCGAACATTCATTTTTTTTTCTTCTAAGTATCAAACCAAAACATGTTAAGTCTATTTATTGCATTCAGGACAAAAACAACTTACTCGTTAACGTAAATGTTTAGCAGAATATATAATATAAATTCAGCCAATATTCAAATTTAGCATGAAGTGGCGGATAATACATTAAAGAAAACCCCTTTCATCATATCATTAATGTTGAAAAATTTTTTAAACCAAAGCCTTTATCTGGTTGGCATCAACGGGATGCAAATATGTCGACCGAATTTCAAATGTACAATTAGTGAATAACTTAGCCTGTCTTAATGTATTTTGTTAATTTGAATTACCTTTCTGAATTTTCGTTTCTATTCTTTGACCTACAGCGTGTATTTAATTTACTTTCTAGCATTTTTTCTCTTTCTTTGTTTTAAGCTTTCTGTTAATATTTGTTAATATATTATATATATATATATATATATATATATATATATATATATATATATATATATATATATATATATGCGCATGCTAACGTCTGCATAATCTACTTGCACATTAACTTATTGTTGATTCTCAAGGCCCATAGATTTAATGGAAGTTATTCTGGCGTGGTTTACTGGACGGTGGAGTCTATCCACATTCACAAAAAGTGGATATTGGCACTTATACTAAGTTAAAACATTATAGCTGTTTCACGCTCCCTGTCTATAACCCTCCTTCCGATCCATAATGCATCTGCTTTGCAAGCTTGAATTTTTTTCTCTTGAATAGATAACTTGCCCATTCCAATCCCCTGCCCTTGTAACCACCTACTATAGTAATTCAAATGGAGTTAGGGGATGTACATGCATCCCCAAGCAACGCTCGTTACAACTTCTCCCAATGAGTTTTTTAGTCCTTAAGTACAGTGTCTCGGTGCCCGACCGGTATGATGTTTCTGACCCAAGAAAAAGTTCTGTTGCCTTGACTTCTGGGCAGACGCGATGCGTTCACTCGGAGCATCACGCAGGTATTTTCTTTCCTAGGTTGATTGTCCCTTCATTAATATTAGACGTTTTCTGGTTTTTGGCGTTACTCGTCGGATAGTCAGGGATTCTAAACTTCGAGTAACTCCGAAGGAGGATATCTTATCAGCAGGTGTATAATACCAGGCTATTGTACTGCCGTTTTGTGAATGGTTTCTGAACTGTACAGTAGTCTCTGGTAGGCCTCTCGATACCATGATGAAGGGTACTGTATCTCTGGGATTATTTATACATGCAACTCCTGGGGGTGTGTCCGTTACTCTGCCTAATAGTCTTCCACCAACCAATGCACACATGATACTAATCAAAATAAAAATGAACAAAACTAGCAAACACAACCTAAAAAAAAAAAACAAAAACAAAGTAGACGCCTCGTATACCATCTCCTATACCAACATTCCAGACGTGGAACACCATTACCATTCTAAAACAGACCTCCTGTTACTTTCTGAAATCGCTATCAACGCTTCAAGTTCTCTTGGGAAGCTCACAGTCCCGGGCTACTCAAACTCTTCTAGCCAAACATGACCACGTAAATCGTCACGGCCACGGACTAGGAGCCTATATCAAGGACGAGTTTTCCTGTGGTAGGGATTCAAAAG